CAAAGCCCTGTACGCTTTGCCCTGTTAAAAAGTTTTCGTACCTGCTTCCTGAGCACCGATAGCTCCCGAGACCACCAGCTGGGCTGAGCCTTCTCTTTTGGTTTCGCCTCTGGGCAGCTGGAGTGAAAGGCATCCATTATGGCGCCATTCAGTTCGTTAACGGTGCTCTCTAACCTCATATGATCGACGTGCCTGTTCTTGGACTGTATTACAGTCAAGTTTGATTTTAAATTTTCGCTCTATCGTTCCCAGTCAGTTTTCCTGGGGTTTCTAGTTGCTTGGTTTGTTCTCGCCTCCGCTCCCAACACAAATTGGATAATCCTGTGGTCCGATAATGAAGGTTCCGACGAGACCCTCCATTGGGTGACCAGAGGGCTAGCCAATCTGTTGCTGAGCGTAACGTCCAGTACTTCTTCCCTAGCCCTCGTAGAAAATGTCGGTGTTTGGCCAACATTGTGGATGCTAAGTTCCTCGCTTAAAATGTACTCTAAGAGACACTCACCTCTGCGATTTGTGTCCGTGCTGCCCCATTCAACATTATGGGCGTTCGCATCGCACACCACTATGAGATGGAGCCGTCTCCTCCTGCAGTACTCCACTAACCTCTGTACCTCTTGTGGTGGGCCATAGCTGCTGTCCCCCGGAAAGTACGCCGCAGCGAACACCACCTCTACGTTGCTATCGCAAATGGTCAGCGACGTCTGCACTGCCACTAGGTCCTGTTAAAAACTCTGTAATGCAAAAGTAATCAATATTTTCTTTAAGCACTACACACGCTCTGGGCCTCTCACAGGAGAGGTCCAAAATTACCTTGTTCCTTTTATGGTTGAGGCCCCTCACCTGGCCTCTGTAGGTCCACGGCTCTTGGGTCAGTAGGATGCCCAGGCCATCCGTGGCAAACCTGCTGGTGATGACCGCCGAAGCAGCCACCGCGTGATGCAGATTGACCTGGGCTACTGCCAAGAGTCGGGGATTCATAGGTGGAGCTCGTCAAGGTCGGAGAGCTGTAGTTCGCTCTCGTTCCGCTTATTAAGCTCTAGTCGCCTCAAGTCCAAACCTGATAGCAGCTCCTGCGTTGAGGGCACGTGTTCCGCTGAGGTGGTGGTAGCGGTATGCCCGTGCGTGCTTGCAGGAGCTGGTGTTTCTGCAGGTAGTGGCTAATATATTATAACCAATTTAAATATAATATGTTTCATTGCCTAGTACCAACGACTTTTGAAAATTCAAAAGGGGGCCAAAAAAGTCACAACCCCACTGTTTAGTTTCTCGCCAGTGCATTGCCACTTTTTCAAGGCACTTTATTTCATGAATTCCCGAACTTTACATAAAGGGACCATTTTTGAATTCATGAAATGGAGTATTCACGAATTCTGTCACATAAACGTAGTATAAGTAGAATAGTATCAAGTACAGTAGTTGCCATATCGACATTCATTCACAGTAGTAATAATAATAGAATGTTTACATATATCATTCACCCTCCCTGTTTTAATTTATTCGTGAGAATAATCATCAAGATATTGTGGCGACCGGCGTTGGCAGTTGGATCTCCGGACTATCGGTTGTTCCGGAGCATCGTGTACTGATTCTGTTAATGCCAGGTTCTGTAAGATCGATCTGTGGCTCTCCGGTTGCTCCATCGCAGAGTGCGTTTGATTTTGTAGCTTATCCGTAGAGAGGTTTGTTACTTCTTCAGTGACCGGCTTTGGAACGTAAGTGGGGCCATATCCGTATCTAGGTCTAGACAAATATCCTCTCCTCCCTCTTCTATGGGTGCTAGATGTCGGTTTGATACCGTAGTTTCACGTCCACCCGGCAATTTAACATATCAAAAATCAGGCTTGCAGTGTAAGACTATAGGCTGATATTTGTTGGCTCGGTTGCACTTTTTCATTAAAACATGTCTCGAATTCGTAAGCCAAGTCGGTATCGAAGCGCCATTGTAAGATCTCCGTTGGTGCAGAAACATTCGCTCGTGAGGTGTGCAGTTCGTGGCGGTACATAACAGAGATCGAATGGTATGTAGGGCCTGAGGTAGCACTATATGCCAGTTTTCAATTTCCAGATTTTCTGCTTTTAACGCTAAAATAATAGTGTTCCAGAGAGTGGAGTTAAGCTTCTCCACTTGTCCGTTTCCTTGTGGGTTGTAGACGGTAGTACGGCTGGTAGCTATACCCTGAGAGTGAAGAAAGTTGTCTACATCTGTTGAAAGGAAAGAAGCCCCTCGACCCGAATTAACATATGAAGGCATAACGAACGTAGTAAATAGCTCATTGAGATTTTTAATTACCGTTTTGGCACTGACGTCTGGGCACGGAAGGCGAACGGAAATCGTGAGAATTCATCGATAATTGTGAGAATGAATCTATTTTTGTTATTTGTTGGGACTGGCCCTTTAAAGTCAAGGCTCAAGCGTTCGAACGGCGACGTTGCTTTTATCAACGGTTTTTGATGCTTGTGACTATGGAAGAATCTAGGTTTAACTTCGGAGCAGGAACGGCATGAATTTGTCATACTTCTAACTTCCTCAATCGAAAACGGTAGGTTAGCTGACCGTACACTGTGGAACATTCTAGTCACTCCCGGATGGCAGAGCGCTTCATGATGCGAGCAAAGTTTCGTTTTACGAGATTCTATAGTAGCGCAAACGAGCGAGAGAGCGTCCCCGGCATGACTGTCCTTTCCCGGACGGTAAATAATATCATATTTGAAGGGTGCGAGCTCCAAACGCCATCTTTGAATCTTCTCATTTTTGATTTTGCTCGCATGTTTTTTGCCATACATAAAGGATACTGATCGCTGGTCGGTTACTAGACTAAATCGTTTTCCAATAACAAAGTGCCCTCATTTCTTCAACGACTCGACGATAGCGTAGGCTTCTTTTTCTATTGCCGAATGATTATGTTCGCTAG